TTAGGCCCTATCTCAGATTTGTTTTTTTCTTTTCGAAAAATATACTTTCCTTCTCGAGATATACGAAAAGTACTAAAAATTCTGTGTAAAAAACCGGTTTTTTATTTTGAAAATCTTCTCACATCTAAAGTTGAAATCGAAAACGCTTAAATAAAAGGAACCTCAGATAGGGTCTAAAGTATCTGGGATAAAAGTTTGAGCTCGATCGAACCATTTTTTCGAGGAGTCGTAATGTGACCCGCTTGAAGGGACTATCGAAAAAATGCCTAGTGAGAAAAACACATTGTACAACGGGCTGTGTTTTTCAGGGCATTTGCGGTGATGCTTATACCTCCACGAAAACTCATCAGAAAATTCTGAAAGACGTCTCATTTTGAAGAGCATACTTTGTTCTCTCATGCTATGTATAAGAAAAAGTTTTGAATATATAAGAACTACTTATAACTCTACTTAGAAAAGTTGAGAAAAATTTACGAACCTAAACAATTGAGATTTTCTAGGCATTGATGAACAACGATACGTTAAAGAAACTTTCTCTGAACTATTGTCATTTGTACGATGATACTACGATGATGATCCCAAAAATGTTGCATACAACTACATCTCTGGAGTTACTCGATCTTAGCGCCAATTCACATCTCTCCTTCGACCGCGCCAAGCTTCTTGCAAGCGTTCTGCGCGCCAGTCGCAATCTGCGAACATTAGCTCTTCGAAACAGTGATTTCGAACATGACAAATACAAACGATACTTGCACAGTTTGATCACACCCGCACGGTCAATTAGTGTTATTGCATACAACAGTCAGTGTGACGGTGAAATGAAACTGCATAAGTATAGATTCGAACTATTTGCGGCATTGTTTCTTGATTCGACTAGCATCGAAGAGCTGAAAATCGGGAGCAAAAGGTGGACAATGAATTTACCGACGTCTCTGAACATGAGTGGGGAATGTGCATCGATGCACACGCTTGATATTAGTGACTTTGCGATCCAGAATGTTTCTGATCATTTTCTGAACTCCATAGCACAGAATCTGACAAATTTTTTGCATGAACTGTTGCGATGTGAGTGACCGTGATTTATGGTGCATTATTTCTGCATTGACAACGCAACGAAAATTACAATCGCTCAAGCTGCATTCACTAGAGAGGGCATCCTTTGGTGGCGATAAATTCGAATCTACATACGTCGAACTCGCGCGAATGATTCAATCGAATACGTTGCTCAAAAAATTGGAAGTCACCTCGTGTGTCTGGGAAACACCGGAGTTATCGCATTAGCCGAAGAATTGAAAGATAATAGTGTATTGGAAAAACTGAATTTCCAGTTTAACATGATTGGCACCGACGGAGCACTAGCGCTTTCTAAAGCTCTTCGATATAACAACACACTGATTGAGCTCAACGTTTCTTACAATCCCGCAATTGGCCGAGAGAGTCTTTTTCCCATGTTGGAAAGTTTAAAAACGAATGTAGCTTTGAAACAACTCAAGATTTCTGGTTCCTTGAATCGTAAAAAGAAGAGACACGAGCAGGAACAAATCCAGCATGCCATTCGTGAACTCTCTCATATCAATGAGTTCGTCAGTCTCATTTTACTGTGGAGGATAATTTCAATAGTATCTTCACCATATTATTCAAGACCTTTTTTAGAACCACTTCTAACTGTATTCGTTTTGTAAAGCAAGTCTTTCTGATCATTTCAATTTAAAGACACTTTAGACTCGGCTAGGCTTGACAGAATATGAGATGAAATACTGAAAGTCGCTTGAGATAACCGATGTCGAGAACGTTTGTTGTGTTTTAATTAACTTACATCTGTTCACCGTAAGCCCACAGTGGAATTCGAAGAGAGATTTAGGAGCCAGCACCTCTTTGCCCCCCCCCCTCTGGTCGGGAATTCGGTGAGTGAATATACGAATATGGACTTCACAGTGAAGTGTACTATGTACTTGACTGAGCGTGCATAGAAAAAAGCAATTTCAAAGGAACAGCAAGTCAAACGCGACCAACCTCAAATGTTAAGAGAGGATTCTCGAGAAACTTGAACATTCTCCCAGAGCGCCAAGTGGCCGAAAAGATCTTTGCACAACTTAGAATTTCTGTGAATTCTAAAATAATCTAGGAGCATCATTTTGAAGTTCTGTCTTTCTCAAAGACTTGTCAGGAGCACATGTAGAATTGAATGTGGATCGAAAGACTCTAAGTGATCATACTGAAAATCCGAACCGACCATTCGGCAAAGCGTGACCAGTAAACTAAGTATTTTTATGTTCCAATATTGAGCGCAGGATGAGATGAGAAAATGTATCCATTTGAAACTCTCACCGATTCTTATAGTGATGTCTTTTTTAGCAGACGTCATTGTTTGTTAAAAAACTGCTTCAATGTATTATCTCATTCGATATACAATTTGAAAGAACATGACGATGCGCCTCCTCTGCGTATAAAAGACCCAGACGCGTCGCGTTCTGTCGAGAAATATGTTTTTTTGACGGATTTCAATATATCGAAAGCGCATCAAAACCAAAAAAGGCGCCTTTCGACTCCTTCAAGTATCGAAGGTTTCCTGAATATTTGACTCAAGTATTACAAAAGACACTCAAGGTATTCATCCCACAAAGAAATGAGAACTTTGACTCAATTTTCGATTTTTCGTTTTTTAGGCCAGAGTGTCTACTTTCAGAATATATGCCCATCTTAATGGTGAATGACTTGAATAAAAACTTCATCTGATCATAGTCAGTATTCTGGAAGTCACACCAACTGTTCATCATGCACATCGCAAACTTGTTTGCCTTTTTCCTCACTTGTTACTTTTCTGAAATTAGGAATATCGATTTTCTTCCCATTTTGGAATGAACAGCAAAAATCGAAAGTTGAAATTCTGCAAAAGGGCGACGACAATCCCTTCATTCAAGTGTTTTTTATTTACTACATTATTTTGAGGGCTTCAAATAGTCGGCGACTCTAGATGAATGTTCCTAGCCAAAGCCTCCTTTCCAAATTTTTCACTTCCGAACACAAAACTTTGGTTGATTGAAACTTCGGCTGTGATCGATCCTTTCTAGTTATGACTGATATCCATAAAAAATTTCAGCTTCATCGGTTGGTAGAGAGCCGAAATCGATTTCTGTGTGGGAGGCGATAAAGAACAATTGACTACTGGATGTTCCAAATGTTATACGCTCTCTGAAGTTCCGTATTCTTTTTATATACTTTTTTTATATTTATCGGAAGAAAAGACAATAAATGAATGTTAATCACTATTAACGTTTTATTTGAAAAATACATGCAAGAAAATTTAGATTGAGTATCGGTAAGTAATACATTAATTTCTTTGGTTGTGTTATTCGACGCTCGCTGTTAAAAAAAAGTCACAGTAAAAACGTGGCATCATGAAACTAATGTCACATTTTAACTGTAACTTTATATATACTTTATTAACGTTTTTTCTGTGGCAATGTCACATCCTAACGACATCTAAAAACGGATTTTCCGTGACATCACTTTGCATTATTTAAAATAGACCAATGGGATGAAGATAATGAAGATATTTTTCCCGTTACATGTCACCGTAAATTTGAAAAACGAAATGTCCGTGGTTTTCTCACCTACTTTTCTCTGAACCACATACAGAAGTTCGTCGATCATTGAGTAAGGTCCGTGAAATATGTTTCCTCGGAGCAAAAGCGATAAAAACATCTTTTAAAAAGAACTTTTCTTTAATTTCTTCAACGTAGTTCATAAAATAAGAAACGCAGAACAACAACGATGAAGAAGAAAGTAAAATTCGTCGTTATTGATATTATTGATAACGGCTAATGACTTTTCATGGCTAAATGTTTTTATCTGATACAAAGGAAAATGGCCGTATGCAATTTATTAAGTAACTCGACATTCTAGTATTTGCTTAAAACTACCATAAACCAACTCGTTTGTCTGACGATCGGACAAACAGACAGTTGTACCTCTGTGTGATAAAAGGGATTAAACCAATAAGATTAATTATCATGGCGAAATTAGTCCTGATCAGAAAAACGCGAAGCATAAATTTGAAAACGTGAAGTGGTCTTCTTCATTTTCGAAGTGAAAAACAGAGTAGGAAACGACTTTTACAAAGTAGAAGATCGCTTTGCTTTCGTAGAGACCACCAATCATTAGAAACATTGTCTAGCATTGAGATGACGCTGAAAATCTGTGATTTGAAACGGGAAAAATGTGACAATGTGACGCGACAAAAAAAATGCGACTGCAAGAGTTGACGCAAAAACGTTGAAAATAACGTTTTTTTCCGGATGTCACGATAAACCCATTTCAATCAACGTTAAAAAAGTTGAAGCTAACGATAAAAGTGTGACGTCCCGAAAAAGCAACAATTTTAATGTGACTTTGCCACGGATTTTACGTGACTACTTTTTACAGTGTAGCGCAATACGAAAACCGTGACAGCAAGAGATGACAGTAAAAACGTTTAAAGTAACGTTTTCTGCTAATTTCACGGTGAATCCGTTTCATTCAGCATTAAAAGTGTTGAAGTCAACAGCAAAAATGTGACACTGCAAAAACACAACATTTTTGCTGTGACTTTCCCACCGATTTCGTGTGACTTTTTTTGGCAGTGCCGCTGTTGTTTTCTTATGAGTTGCAACAGCAATGTCTTGCTGATTGGATCATACATTCACTAATCATTTTATTTTACTGTAACAGAATGACTCATCTACAGATCATAATAACGTCTGATTTCTCAACTAAATAGAGATCTGTTTTCCTGTCCTAGTTTCACATATTTCATCTCATTCTCAGTCAATAAATAAAGTCTCACGTTTCTTCTGATATTTTAAATTGGTTCGAACAAGTCAGCTATGTTTTAGAAATAGACTTTGTTTTGTAAGAGGAGCGTTATTGGATTTGCGCGTATTTTAGTTGTCTTTTTATAAAATATCAGCACTTATTTTTGAAAGAGTTATCAACGACCATTATTTTATTTTAGATAAAAGATGTCATCTGGACCGTCGAAAATCAGTAGAAGTTTACCTCATTTACAAAATTTAATAAAACGTGATCCAGAGGCGTACAAAGAAGATGTACGTGAATAGTTCTCCTATTATTATATGTTTAAATTTTTATTCTCTTGCTTATTTGTTTTAGTTCAAATTGCAATATTTAAATTTTGAAAGTCAGTTCGTGGAATTAATGACGAAACCAGATATATGGAGTAAAACATTAGCCGAACAAATAACGTTTATTGCACAAGTAAGAAAGTGTCTAGTGGAAATAGACCAGTTTAAAAGACAGTGCCAATAATCGCGTTCCTTTTTCACAACAGTCAATTTATCTGTCATGATTATCTTTTCTGTCCTCTAGGTTGCTCAATGCTATCGTGACGAGACAAAAAATGTGTCACAAATGTTTATGGATGTACTGAAACTGTATTCAACCGTTTTGAATCGCGATATGCGTTTAATCTTGGTTCGTGCATTAATATTAATGCGTAATCGTAATTTAATCGGATGTCAGGAACTAGCAGAAGTATTTTTTCGTCTATTACGTGTACAAGATCGTTTACTAAAAGCACATATTCAAACACATATTATTAATGACATCAAACGAATTAATCAAAAACATAAAAATCTAAAACTAAATAGTGTACGTATAGACAACATTGTAAATTTAATCGATAAAAATACACTCCTGTTCATTAGCCATCAAAATGATGCTAAACTGATCCGTCGTGAACACTAAACGCGTTAATTTTGTTTTTTTTGTTTAGTTGAATCTAAGTTTTTTGACACAAATATGCTCCCTTCTATTTTCTTATTTATTTTCTTTTTAGACATTACAAAATTTTATGTATACCGTTATAAAAGAGAATAATCCAGCAGCAGTCAAAGTATCGCTGGTAATTATTCAAACTAATACGATTCCCTACTCTAAAACTATGTTTATGTACGTACGTTTTCTCTTACAGGATATAATGGTTGATTTATATCGTAAAAATATTTGGAATGATGCAAAAACCGTCAATATTATTGCAAATACATGTTTTTCAAAAATAACTAAAGTAAATGCGATTTTTTCACTCTCGCTGGTATACTATCGTTCTTGTTTCTTTTTAAGATTCAAGTAGCGGCCGTGAACTTTTTTCTTGGAACTAGTAAAGCTCAAGACGAAAATTCAGATTCAGATGATGTATGATATATTCAAGTTAAACTCCTGGTCATCTATATAACATGTCTGTTTTTGGTCTAGGATGATAAACCAACTAGAAAAGAAATTTTATTATCACATCGTGTTGGAAAAAAATCAGAAAAACGAAAAAAACGAACAGAAAGAGCATTAAAATTGTTAACGGTACGTAAATACCACTCGATACTTAATAAACTTCGTTTAGGCGAAGAAAACAACAAGATTGAAGGAGTTTATAGAAAATGCTTCGTAGTTGTATCAGAAAAGTGTTTTTGTCAAAATTTCTGGAGTGCCAGCGACTCTAGGCTAAAGTTTATAAGAATATCAAGAGGTTTATTGTTACATTTGTCCGACAAAACCGACAAGTACCGAATTAAAGATAGATCCGTTAATATGATAGAAGATTCTTACATTGTAAACTTTCAATGTGCAATTCAGCGGGTTGTTTCTTTTAGAAACAATCGAAGAAGAAAAAAGTCGAAATATTTAATTATTCTGCTCTTCACTTGTTATATGATCCACAAGGTAAGTTTGAAGGCACATCTCTCGCTTGGAAACACTATGTCATGTGTTCATTTTTCTAGATTTTTCTGAGAAACTTTTTCGTCTATTAGAAACATCGAATGAACGTTTTGAAGTCAAATTACTTTTACAAGATTTAATCTCACGTCTCATTGGTTTACATCATTTAATTTTACTAAACTTTTATCCATATATTCAACGTTATTTGCAGCCTCATCAAAAAGAAGTAACAAAAATTTTACTGTTCATTGCACAAGCTGCCCATGATCTCGTGCCACCCGATATTTTGGAATCAGTGTGTAAAACAATTGCTATGAATTTTATTACTGAAAGAAATTCACATGAAGTCATGGCAGTTGGGTAGGTAAAGATGTTTGTTTACACAATCGAATACTGTGATATATAGAAAGAAATGTATGATAAGATCCATCTTACAAAACAATTCAGCTTACATTTTGTTTTTAATAGTTTGGAAACGTTTTAAAATACAAGTTGAAAGATCTCAAACAGTTGGATGTTAATTGTCTGATTTTGTTTTCCCAATATTAATTCGTTTCTGCTTATAATTTTAGTCTGAATACAATTCGTGAAATATGTAGCCGTTCTCAGTTAGCAATGAACATGGATTTACTTCACGATTTGGCGAAGTACAAAACATACCGAGATAAATCCGTATCCGCATCAGCTAGATCATTAATACAGTTGTTCAGAGAAAAAAATCCACGTTTACTAGAAAAGAAAGATCGAGTAAGGTTGTTACAATACTCTGGTATCATCTCGCGTAACTGTATTTTATTTATATTTCTAGGGTAAACCAACTATAGCACAACGTGAGTTGAAACCATTACAATATGGAGAATCAGATGCTAAAACATATTTACCCGGTGCCGAATTATTACAAAGTAAATATTAAAAAAAGTTAGTTTGGATGATGAATGATGCTTTTGGCTCTTTCAGAAGATGAGAATAACACGAAAGAAATGGACGAATCGAGAGATAAAGTGAAGAGTGACGAAAGTGAAACGGATGATGACGATGATGATGATGATGAAAAAGGATGGATCGATGTTTCACATTCAGATAATGAGACAGATACAGAAGAAAACGAAGAAAACGATCAAGTAAGACGTTTCCCTACGTTTATACTCATTTAAGTTTTCTCAGCAGTTATTGTGAATCTGTTAGAACCATTTTTTTAAAAGTGTTTTTATGTAGTTTTCCATTCTCATTGGAAGTAATGATTTGCCTAAAACTCTTGAAAAATACGATCGCGACTCTAGTCATTGTTAAGTTCTTTGCTAATAACATCCAGACGAGTTTGCGATGGCGATAAACTGACGTATGATTAAGGAGATTTTTAGATTTTATTGTTTTCATTATCGTAGTTATACACCGTAGATCTTGATTAGCAGTAGCTATTTTCGAATGCCTTTTACCATTCGAAATTTTAGGAATATTTTCATGTCTTTCTTATTTTTCTTATTTCGTTGTTTGTAAGACAGATCATCACAGTAAACTAACACATTTTCTACTGATAAACTGGTACGTTTTTTTCTTGAAGAAGAGAGAATATTAGAAAATACTATAAATAAGTACTGATAATAATTTTATCGAAAGAAAGAATTATGGATAGAAAGTTAGTATCGATGATTTGTCACTTTAAGGGCAGAAAATGATAAAACCAGGAAGAAACTTCTGCTCGAAGCTCTTGAAAACAGTTTTTGGATCGATCATCTAGTTTTAGAAGTAGGTGTATAAAGCGATAACCACAGTCTTATAAAAGTGGAAAAATGGAAGACAAAAACATTTTGTTATTGACACATTAAGAAATTCTGTAACTGTATGATTAATGAATGACCAAATAGCTGTTTATTTTCTTTTATTATAGACTAATGAACTACCGTCAACAAATATGAATGCGTCCATGGCTGAAGATGAACGTATTTCGAAAGCAATGGAGGTGGTTACAAGTCGAATATTAACACAATCCGAATTTGAACAATTGAGGGTAACTCAATTAAAAAAACATCTCGAAGACAAAAGAGGAGATAAATCAACGTCAAAACGGAAAACAATAACAATTGATACGGATTCAGAAGACGACAATCAAAGAACAAATAAGTAAGTGAATACATGTTATTTATGAAAGTTTTATTCGCTAAAAAGTAATATTAACGAGACGGTAACTATTATATTTATTAATCTCGTTTTGGCCTATATCAAACACCGTGTAGTTCAGGCAAAAAAGCCTTTAATTCAGCATTGTTTGTAAAAGTATTAGTATGTATTATGAAATACGATTAAGTTTTCAAATGAGCCTGACTATTACGATTTGTACGTTTTTCCGATAAGGTTTTTTTAGCTATAGGTAAAAGGATTTCATGTGAGAAGAACGTACTGTTTTTTTTTAGCGAAACGAACGAGTAGACCTACAAACTGAGAAGCCGTCGTTGCTGACGAAAAATTGTGAATAAACGTTTACTGCTACTTTCTCCATTCAAAAGAATTGTTTCAAACAAAACTAAGATGGAACTGAACAGAGTGTTGTCCTACGTCCTAAAACAGTCATTTAGAATCACTCTATTTCTTACCATTTTGCGTGTTTTCCTATATTGTTGAGGAGAAAAAGGTATTATTAGAAGCCTAGAAAAGATATTAATAACGATTCATAATGCCCCTGCGAATCAATCGATCAACCTACAGATCTAAGAATCAACCATTCATTCCCATAGAACACGGTGAAAATAGGGACAACGAATGCCTTATGTTCGATAATCATCTTGTCTAAGGAAATATTTTTTAACGTTTATACATTAAAAATTGGAGTGCAATTCATTTTGTAGATCAATTAGATTTTTTCAATTTATATTTTATTTTCATTTAGTGATGAATTAATATCACTACATGATATCGAACGTGTTCATAAAAAACGTCGACATGACAGAGAATCTCGACTTGAAACTGTAATGGTATGTAATCATATTCAGCATCAATTATTTAACATTCTTTAATACTAATTCATTTGCGTTTGTGTGTAGGCCGGTCGTGAGGGTCGTCCAAAATTTGGTAAATGGAAAAAAGAAGGGAAAGGCAAAACAAATAAAGAAAAATTGAAAAGCAAAAATTTCATGATGTTAAAACCAAAATTAAAAGGAAAACAAAAACGATCGTTCCGAGAGAAACAAGTAAAATTTAGCTTTAATAATCTTTATTCTAAGAAAGAGTAATCATTGTTTGTATTAATATATTTAGGTTGCTCTTCGAGATTCATTATTAAAACAAAAACGACTCAAATAATTGAGTTTATTTATTGTTATTTCTTCTAAAAATAATCGATTGTTATTTGTAAACATTTTATTATTGTTATAAAACAAAAGCTAAAACAAAAATTTATACTCGGTTTAAACATTCATTTATTTGGTATGAATTGAATATAACTGAAATTAATTTGTTCTCTATGTAAAGAGAATTTTGAAAATACAATATTTACGTTTTGCTTGTTATTAGACGAAAGACAGAAATTACTATCCATTTCAAAATACAAGAGCAGTGGCTATTTTTTGAATAATTTTTGATAGAAAGCAGCTAGAGAGCTTCGATTTTCACCATACAAAAGAGAAGACTTGGAGACATGTTTCCACAAACAGAATTATTTTCACAAGAGTTTTCTGAAACAGGCTGTTTAGGAGATCTTTGGAAAACCAGATCGTATGTAAAAATGTTCCAATAGGATAATGTTGACCTTTTTAATGGACTGATAATTCGGGATGTGTTCGTGAAAATGGGAGTCAAGCGAGACCTAGATTTTCTACGGCTCTGGCGTTGTATCGGATTTCCTACGAGTCCCAGGATTGGCACCTGGTGGCTCTTTGTAGCCTTGAAAACCAATGGACTATAGATAATCGATCATGCTGAGTCTCATGGCAATATTTGCTTTTAGAAAAAGTTTAAAAATCCACCGAAAAAGGGAGTTTTACGAAAACTAGGGTTTTCAGACTGTTTTTACCTAATTCACCACGTTCTGATGTATTTTGAGTGAACAGTGAATTTTTAATATTAGGTGAAAACAGTCTAAAAATCCTAGTTTTCGTAAAACTCCCTTTTTCGGTGGATTTTTAAACTTTTTCTAAAAGCAAATATTGCCATGAGACTCAGCATGATCGATTATCTATAGTCCATTGGTTTTCAAGGCTACGAAGAGCCACCAGGTGCCAATCCTGGGACTCGTAGGAAATCCGATACAACGCCAGAGCCGTAGAAAATCTAGGTCTCGCTTGACTCCCATTTTCACGAACACATCCCGAACTATCAGTCCATTAAAAAGGTCAACATTATCCTATTGGAACATTTTTACACACGATCTGGTTTTCCAAAGATCTCCTAAACATTCTAAAAACAGCTTTTCCTGTCTGGATAAGAGGAAAAGAATCAGGAATGGGAAAAAGTCAACAAATTCACAGAATGAATAATCTTTTTTTGTACAATAAGAACAAACATATCGATTGCAATTAACGATTCATATTACAAAGAAGTTCTATTGCAGCTTGATATGAACTATATTTTACCGAAAGTGATTGTAACTTAAGGTCAACACTTCAAGGCGTAATTGGTGGACAGCGATATTTTCACGTTTGACTACGTTGAGTATAAGTTTCAATATATTTAACTCTTTTTTTTTAAAATAATTTACACATTGTAAACATTCTTCGCTTACGCAAAACTTTTATGGTTGAAGAAAACAAATGATAAATTCTAGTTTTTTTATGTATAATGTTAATACCTCCTTATTGAAACAATTGTCTTTTAATAATAGCATATTATTCAATCTTGAAGTTTCATCATCATCTTGAATAAATATTATTTTTCTGTTGCTAAAATAATTTAGAGTTTGTTTAATAACAATTTTATGCAATAATTTTAATTTTTGTTCGGCAAAATGCATCATCATTAAATAGTAGCCATACTAAGATATTTAATAATTTTTCTTTACTAATAAAATAGATTCTATTACTAATTATTCTTCTTTATTATACTGACAAAAAAAGTAAATTACAACAAGCAGATAAACATGTAGAAAAGCGTAGCAAGAACAAATGAAAAAAAGATGATCACAATATACATTACTAGAAAAAATCTATAGCAAGATTTTTTCTGTTAATGACATATTCACAGGGTAGTTCATTGAATAAGTAAAAGTTCAGTATGAAAAGTTACTTCTGTTTAGTTTTTCTTTTCCAAAATACAATTATCAAAACTTACAATGTAGAAAAAGAATAATAGTAGCAAAAATAAATTGCATTTATTTGCTTAAAAAAATTGGATGGAAAGACTGTACGTGTGTTTGTAGTATTCTTAATAATCAGATTGAAGAAATACAATTTACGTTCAGAACTTATCCTTCTGTTTACAATTCCAGAGTTCGGATAAATTCGTCAATAAAAAAAATTGTACATTCAATCGATTAAAATTAAGAAAATATAAAGTTCCCTATTAGTCGAGAGAAAAAAATACAAGGTTCAAAAAATTATTGGTTGAGATTGATGTGTGTTAATTAGATAGTTGTATTTTTCTCTCTCTTCTAGCTAATAGGGGAACTTTAACCTCAGCATCCTTCTTGTTTCGATGATTTTCCTGAGGATTTTGTTATTAATAGTGTTGTTATCATCTAAAAAAAACAAAATAGAAATATCGTGATAGATAATTACCTTAGCTACTTTCACATACAACTAATTTTTCTTTTCCAAGATTAGAAAATTCTAGAAAAGCACTTATTCTATGGATTGAAAACTATCATCTACAATTTATTGTCATTAAATCAAAACATTGTACTATTCTAGTAAACATCATAGAGAACATTTTGTATTTATAGTCGCGGAAAAAACGAGAATATTTTTTTAAGTCAATATATCAAGGAGAACACCAAAAAGTCAGTTTTTATTCTGACTTAATTTAGTAGCCTTAGATATGTAAGTAAATAGAGTCGAAAGAATCTGTTAAAAGATTAACTTTTAGAAATGCATTTTATAAATAAAACTAATTCTTTTACATCCACGAATAATTTTGAAATAAAGAGAGATGAAGAACTACAATTTTGATTATACAATAGAAGAGACTTAGACATATCTTTTCATAACCATAAAGAATTTTAAAATCTTTTTCGAATCTAAGTTTTTGTGAGGAACTCTGCGAAATTTTGTTCGATTCTTCATACATCAAAGCGAGTTTTTTTGCATAAGTAGATTAGAGCACTGTAGATTATGACTTTTTTGCGACCTATAACCTCAACCTAACCTAACCTATATATTAGATTAGTTAGGTTGGACTTAACCTGCAGGACTCTAAAGTAGATATAATTTTAAAACTTTTTTCTAGCCTTCATGTGAAGATATATGTAGAGTTGTCATAATTAAATCTTTGCTGAAAGCTTCAAATCGTTTTGATCAAAAATTACTACTACTACTTATTACTAGATATCATGCCTAAACCATTGGCAATGAAGGTCTTGCTCGACTCCCGTTTCTCATATTTTATCGTAAGATATAGCAAGTAAAATTTTGAATTAGATTATAGTTTTTTCAAAAATGCAACATATTTTAAAACTTTTTCGAGATTTCTATTGCCGTTTTTAAACGCGATAAAAAATTAAAAAAGATAAACATAAGAAAAACGACTTCTCCATTCGACAAGGTTGAGTGCTTCCTCTTATTTAAAACCCGTGCTACATTTCTAATTCATAATTCGAAAAAACTTTTTGTAATAGCAGCAGGATGCATTTGCGGACTTTGTCACTTGTTTTCTCAAAATTTAGCAATAGTTAAAGATAAAAAGCCGAAAATTATTTTGTGAACATTATTCGAGTATGTTTCTTGAATTTTCACAAAAATTGAATGGAAAATGAAGTTTTTTCTGCTATAGGGAATCCTCATTAAAGAGACGCCATCTCTTCATAGACTGTCATCATTCGATAGTAAGTACTAGAAACTTCGCACTCATCTAAAAGTCTTTTAAGTCCTTACTTCAGAACAAGTTGGATGAATTCCAACAGTCATATCGAAATCTCGCTTTGTTGCACCTAATCTCATTCCAACAGCATAACCTGTAAACAAAAACAAATAAAAAATCGATAAATGATGAAGATATAAAACTATTGCATCTGTTCATGCTTCACGGTAAGGAAAGCAATTTTCCTTCTTAAAGATTTTAGACTTTCCGTGACTTTCTGCTAAACTTTTGACATGTAATAGATGATGCGACATCACCAAAAGCACCACAATAGAGCATGTCTTTATTTCCTACTATGCTAGTCAATCAGAAAAGGATACGTATGATGATATACTCAAGTGCATATCTAATCTACTTTTTTCAGTTAAAGGGAGGCAAAAATCTCTCTTTAAGATATATTTTTATTACACAGTCCATGGTAAGTGATTTTTAGTTTGTGTGTATTTATCTTTAAAAGCGATTTCTGTGTTACCATCATGTTTCTTTTGCAAAAAGCCGTTGCCAGTGATCAATGTTGGTAACTAAAGTTTTATCTTTAGCCGTTTATAAGTATACAAGTTTGTCCCTTGCATTCCCCAAAACAATCACGAACTGTGAATCTATTAGTATTTACCCTGAGTAATTTCACCGGCATTCGGTGAAGCAACATGAAAACCAATAACACGATCCTAAAAAATACACCAAGTAAAACGTTAATGCTACATCAAAATGATCACATGCATTTCACGTACGGTTTTTTTCTCTACAATTAGTTTACAATAACACATTGTTTTAACATCTTCTCGATGTTTACATATTGACCATTCTAAGGGAACAAATTCGCTATGAAACACCTACAATAATAATAAGGTTTTTATCGGTAAAAAAAATTAACGTTGTGTTCAATTACTTCGATATTATCTTCGCCATATTTTTCAATAGCGTCCTCTTCGGACCACCCAATCGTACCATATTCGATTGGAGTAAAAATTGTTGTTGGAACATTTTTATAATCCATCTAGAGATATAAACATTAACTATTACTAGTTATGAAGACTTTCTAGAATCTCAATTAAAATAGTAAAAATATAATATTACAAAATTGCAATCGAGAAATTATTATCAAAATTTATTATATTGTGGCATGTATCATTAGTGTTGACTATACAATGATTGTAGCTATCTATCAATCTGTTTTTTATTTCTTCTACTACGAATTATAGTCCTTTTCACATACTTTTAAGTAGACTACTTATTATTTCTTACTTTAATTGTGCTATCGCCAAATAATCTTTTTGCTAATAATTGACCAGCTTGTATCGCTACAGGTGTCAATTCTAGTGCTTGTCCAAATGGCATTGACACTTCATGAATACAATCTCCAATAGCATAAATATGATCAACTGATGATTGTTCATAATGTGTTAGAATTTTTTGATTTTTTTGATTTATTTTCACTCCAACTGCACCCAGATTTAATTCTTGTGTAATAGCTTCTCGTCCAATAGCGAATAATACCGTATTACAATCTTCGTACAATTCCTCTTTTTTACCATCTTCCGTTTCGCGTTGATAGTACACTCGTAATCGGCCAGGTTTACCTTCTTCCAAACGCTCAATGCGAATCGGAATACATTTTTCATGAAATTGAATGCCAATGTTTTTCATATAATCTCCGATACGATTCGCCATTTGTTGATCGAAACCACGTAATAGAATAGAACGAACGAGAATATGAACTTCACGACCGATACCATGAAGAAAACCGGCACATTCTAATGCAACATACGATGCACCAACAACGATAGTTTTACCCGGATCATACGATAATGAAAAGAGATCATCACTAAAATACAAATAACAAAAATCCATTAATTGTAGTAATGAGTACAGCAAGAAAAAAAGATGTGTGATATTACCTTGTTATTCCATATTCTTTATCTCCCGGTATATCTGGATATTTTGGTCTACCACCTACGGCGACAACAATATATTTTCCGGTTATTTCTTTTGTTTTACCCTTTTTATCTGTTAACTAAATAATAAAATGTAACTATTAATGCCCTTTTTGAATGTAGTTAAAGACAAAATGTATTTACTTTGAGTCTGTGAGGTCCCACAAACTGTCCATATGAATTTTCGTAAACAACTGATTTTGTTCGTAAATCTGTTCGATATTTGAAATTTAATGAATGAATATAATTTTGAATGCTCTCGATCATTTTATCCCAGTCATGTTTACGAGCTAAAATTGGGGAGAGATAATGTGAATAAATAATATAGATAACCAAAGTCTTTTGACTAATATTACAATTCAGATCATTCACCTGATTCTAGTTCTTGCCATCCGTAATCTTCACTATCATGAACATATTCGCCAATTAATGAGGCTTGATGCATCAATTTCTTCGGAATACAGCCTAAAACATACAGATCAGAAGTTTTAGAGGTTTACACAAATGAAAGAAAAAAGAATTACCAACATTAACGCATGTGCCACCAATACCTATGAAAAACAAAAATTTAATAGTTATTTAACTAATCTCGCTTTTTGAAAAGAAAATCATGTGCTTTGGATACTTTACTGACAAAAGAGGATTGAAGATCTGCGTTTCTTAGTTGCACGATATGAGATGACATTTCTGCTCATTCTTACCCCAGGTAGTTCCAACTGGCGTTGGTTTAACATAATCTAACACACACACTTTCTTGTCAAAGTACTTTGCCTCCTGAAAAAACAATCAGATAATAGACCAAGAGATTATTCTTCAGTTAATTACTCGATTTATCATACTTTCGAGCACGCTAATCCTCCAGAGCCTCCGCCAATCACAATTAGATCATAATTATAATTTTGTTCTTCCACTTCCATTTTTCCATTTGTAACTGTTGTTCGAGGTGTTAATAGTAGATCAATAACGCCTTCTTTCATGGCTACTAACGTTTTATCGCAACCACCTACCAAATAAAATCATAGGTACTTTAAATCTGTGTATGTATCATCGATGAGATTCTAATAATTCGAGTGTCTGACAGAAAAATACAAAGTTTTTAAAAATGTTAGAAAATTTTTAAAATCACTTTTTAAAATTAATTTTTATCCAATACTTGTGTATTTCTTTCTTACCGATATGTTGTTTATTAACAAAAACATTTGGTACAGTTTCTTGTGCTGTTTGTCTAATTAATTCCTCTTCAATTTTAACACCATCAGCCATTGTATCGAGTTCAATTGCATAATATTCAATATTAGCTGTTTCAAAAGCAGCTTTAACCTATAAACATGAAAATGTTCTAATAGAAAAGCAGTAAAGAGTAATGTGAATCGATCAAACATACTTTTTTGCAATATGGACACCATGATTTAGAGAATACCATCACATTATTATCATGAATATATTTTTTAACAATATCTTCGATATTCTGACTATTTGTGACTGACGAATCATCTTGATCGTGTTCCATGGTTGTTGTTCGAGGCTTTAATAGTTGATCAATAACGCCTTCTTTCATGGCTAATAATGTTTTATCGCAACCACCTACCAAATCAAAATCATAGGTACTTTAAATCTGTGTATGTATCATCGATGAGATCCTAATAATTCGAGTGTCTGACAGAAAAATACAAAGTTTTCAAAAATGTTAGAAAATTTTTAAAATCACTTTTTAAAAATTAATTGTTTTTTACCAATACTTGTGTATTTCTCTCTCACCGATATGTTGTTTATTAACAAAAACATTTGGTACAGTTTTTTGTGTTGTTTGTCTGACTAATTCATTTTGAATTTCGACACCATCAGCCATTGTATCGAGTTCAATTGCATAATATTCAATATTAGCTGTTTCAAAAGCATCTTTAACCTGTAAACATGAAGATGTTCTAATAGAAAAGTAGTGGAGAGTAATGTGGATTGATCAAACATACTTTTTTGCAATATGGACAAAATGATTTAGAGAATATCATCACATTATTATCATGAATATATTTTTTAACGACATCTTCGATGTTTTGAGATGATGCCGATTGAGTTGGAGCCATTTTACGATATGCTAAAATACAAAAAAATAAGCGTATAGTAACTCAAATAATCAATAGTAAAAGAAAACAAAGTATAACTGGATGTGTAGAGTCTGCCAGTACTATTCTGAACTTAAGTAATTTTAGCAGGAGACCAAGGTAAAAGAATTGAAAATGCAAACATTTTTATAATGCAAAACTAAAAAGAGAAAAGAAATCTCCACTAACGCACAGTATGAAAATTGTGTTTTAGATACTTTATGGACATTATTAAATAATAATTTGATGTTTGAAAATAAATTCAATTTTCTAAAACAACAACTCCCGTTCATCATCACACTCTAACATATAATAGATATATCTGCCATCTGGAAGTGAAAAAGAATGACATTCAAAAACTCTGCATGTAAATCAGAGAGAAGTACAATACATTAATTGCAGTAGAGCTTCGCTTGAATATATCTCATTTCAGTGCGTTCTCATTCAAGTGGGTCTTGTTTTAGCGCGTCTTATTTAGGTACGTTTTCAATTACACAACTCAATTCTTGAAAATATTTTGAAACTTTTGAACGATTTTCGTCACCACTGTTTGTTATTAATTTTTAGTAGTTTTATTTCAGACATTCCACCTCTACCAACATATATAGTACAAACTACCTCTGATGACGTAGTTGATTTGACGCAATTACGTATATGACATAAAATGCAACCGTTTTATCATTACTTTCCAAACACCTGTTTAACCGGACAGTATAATATTGAAGTATGGAATGTTTTTGATCAAGATAGTCGAACAAATAATGATGCTGAATGGTGGTATTCTAAACTGTTACATCTACTACTAACATAACCGATTGTAAGCCAATTGATTGAAACATTTCAAGCACAATAATTCAACATGATAATGTTGAACGTGCTGGGACAAAAACATTATCAAGGTATATCAAAAGTCAAAGGTACAACGTATAACAGATGATTTTAATTTAGGTTAACTCAATCGTTAGATTATATTTTGACAGTTGAAAGATGTTTTGTTGCTGCTAAACGTGCACAGCAGTTCTTCTTAAAATGGAATTGCATTGTCAAAATAATGCTCACAAGTTTTTTGAAATTAAAATAAAAGATTACTAGCTACTAAGAATTAATAACAAACAGTGCACAGTGGGCAGTTTTCCATAGAGCAGGCGGACATCTGGTTTTATGAGTTAAAAAATGATTATTTTCGCATAATATTATCTTATTATGTGTCAAATTTTAATTGGAAGTAAGAAAAGTCAAATTCGAAAAAAAATTATTTTCCGATGAAAAGATCTCTGAGGCGGAACTCTACACTGAATTTTTGTCAAACAATTTTTTATTTGTAAAACTAATAAGTGATACATCACTCGATGTAGTTTTTTACGCTGATTCTGAATATGTATAATTTGTCTTGATAAAATTGTTTTTAATATAAGAAAACTCAACTTTATCTTAAAAAAACAGGGTTTTTTGGAAAATCTATATCTCCGTCTAGTAAAAAAACCGCATGCACTATAGATGTAAGACACCGAGATGAACGTTTGACGTAAATTTGAACGTTATCAGAGTTTAGAAAAATTTAGGAAGTCAACTGCAGAGGTAACGTAGCGAGGAAAAGGGATTTTCTGGAAAAAACTCCGGGTTTTTTATCCACACTTGTTAAGATAAAGCAAAAATTTTTTCAGCATCAGATAGCTGGCATTTTTCTGCTTCAGAAAATATCAAATACGAAGTGTTTCGACGCTTAGAAAAACAATTTTTCATCATTAAGTCGGTCGTTAGCCAAAATATATATGACTGTATTTAAATCTCAAAAAATCGCACTTACGATTTTGAGCCAAACTTCCGCCTATATGTCCACTGTGCAGTAGTGACAGCAACCGGTCAAAAGTTTCAAAATATTTTCAAGAATGAGTTGTGTAATTGAAAACACACTTAAATAAGACGCGCTAAAAAAGGTCCACTTGAATGTGAACCCACTCAGATGAGAGCGCATTCAAACAAGACACACTCATATGCCACTCTCCCATTAATTACGTAGTAGTGTTCAAGTGATCCTCAACGAATTCATCTCTTTTTTTTCTTGGCTTACCTTAAGTCATTTCTGACTTGACTTGCCCCGCTCTGATCTCCTTCGGACTCAAATTGTGCAATTATTAGAGATGATTGGATAACTCCATCCTCTAAATTTTTCTCAAGAATAGATATCACATCTCTATTGATTTTCAAACTCCGATTTTGAACTTATTAGTTAGATAAAGTAGTTAAGTCAAGATTGGTACCACAATCTTATTTTTGGGTGTAAAAGTGTTGAAGAACTTTTATCTTTCCAACAAAAAAAAGTCCGTGTCATGATAGATACGATCGGCTAGGTTTTAAATCACAACTGGATGTATGTTAATCATGCTATTTTTTAACTTGTACTAAACTACTATCTAGACTACCAGCTATACACTACTTTTCATAGTCTTAAGAATTATACGGGTCGACGAAATGCGAAAGTGTACTTCAGAAGTATCACAATGAAAAAAATCTAAACATTTATCTTACAGCATTGCCGATCATTATTCCGTTTTGAATGTAAAATTTTTAGTGATAAATTAGCTCCTGCTGCTGCTAGCGTTGTTGGAGTTCGAACGTTTCGAACAAATACTGAACGGGACATTTTTCTTATATGTCTTTGAACATGTTCAATGAAAACAGACAAAACTCGGTGATTAATGTTCCTTTATTCTTAAGTCTACTTTTGCCTTTAACCACTAACAACTTTTTTTTTCCATTGTGATTACGATAATATTTCTTCTTATTCTCCTTTTAAACGCAACTTTTAATTCTTATTAAAAGCGAAAATATCTTGTTCTTTATTACTTTTCCTGTTTTTCTCTTTTTTCAGTAATATTTACATATTTATAGAATGGACGTAAAATATGACGTATATCATACAAGTAAGAAACTAAATTCAAACGCCTACCTTTGTAGAGCATCAAGAAATAAGCTGATTTTACAAGAGTACAGACGCTTCATCAGCTCACAACTCTTTCTTTCCAGTCTAATATTACAAATGAGAATACGCACAACGACAGAACAAAAACACACCTTTTCTGGCAAGGTACCTATCAGACTGAGATATTTCTTCGAAGTATTTTTTAGCATATCCGTTTATTAATGATTGTCAGTAGATTAGCAAAATCTTATTTTGCGATAAATTTCGCACAAAGGTTATGTCTACATAATATAACAAACATACAGTCCAGAGGAGCCGTATTGATCGGATGAACCGTTAATAGAGAAGTGCAAATTATAAAGTTATGCATTTCTTTATTCTTGTGCGTTTTTAAAAGATTGGTTTTACTAAAAGTTTAATCCAGCCTCGAACTACAGCTTTAAGACATAGTAAAAAGATGTTAACTGGGGAAGAAAGAAAAAAGACAAATTATATAGAAATAAATAAATAAATGGAAGAAAGCTAGAAAGCATAAAGTTGACTTTTAACATTAGAAAATAAGAATTTAGAGAGAAGACAATAAGGACAAACAACAGATGACCGATTCAACAAGATTATCCTACTCAGTGACTGTGGAGCAAACGAAAGAAGAATATGCTGCTTGAGGAGAGAAACCATTCATACGACAGGGAATACCCTATAAAACAAAATTCCAGTACGACACGAGCAGTGTACAACGGTGCGCATGATATGTCATTGGCCACTGGTGCGCACCCGTGCCTAACCCGTGTCGACTGGCACTCGTGCCAGGCAGTGCCGATACATTTATGCCAAAAAAGTGCCGTATTGAAACTTATTTAGTCAGTTCTTTATTATAGTTGCATTTTCAATTTTGCATTAATTAAAGTACAGCACTGATATGTACCAGTACTACACTGGCATGCCGTAACCATGCGGTACTGCCTCAGCACTTCTCTCATGAGAAGGAAGAAACGAAGTCAAAATAGCATTCGAAACATTACAAGTATAGTGTGGTGTTTATATAGACGGACGTCGACAAAACAAAACGGTGATTGAAAAAAATTTGGCATTAGTGCCGATAAAGTAAGAAAAGTTCTTAGCATATATCGGCACTTTTCGGCATCAGTGTGCATCTCTGTCAGTCAAAAAGGGTCAATCCGCACGGGTGCGCATCAGTGCGAAACTTGAAAATCTTTCTCGCACTAATGTACAAAAAATAAGAGGCATCGAATAAGTGCCAGTAAAAATTTTTTTGCAGGGTACGAACATACTTGAATGATGACAGCGTAGAGAAGAAGAGTGAGGACGTTGAGCTGACATATGGGCGAGACCAAGGTTTCCAGTCCCGGTCCCATTCCCATGTCTAGTTGAGCCACACTGTAATTTGGAATTAATTTCTAGTTTATAGAAAATCGATCTCGAAAGTCGCCAATGATTTTCTGACTTTTATAACTTCCCTGTCGGTTTTCTGGCTTTCTAGAAATTCCTAATTTTCTAGAAAATCGACTCGAATTTCTGTAAATTGAATTTTCTTATTAGTCAGAAAATCGATGCGGAATTTCTAAACTGGAAAATCACCATCGATTTTCTCCCTTGCTGAAAACTCGATCATGATTTTCGACATAATAATTCTGAACATTCTTCTGCTGAAAAATCGGACGCGATTTTCTAGAAACTCCTCGGCGAATTTATAAATGGCCTTTTTGAAATTCGCCGGAGATTTTCTATAAATAATTCCCGACTTTACAATGCACGTAACAAGAGAAGAAACAGGAACACGATAGTCACATTTACGAGAAATAACCAAAATCAAGAACAGTCAAAGGAAGCGAACTATCATCACTAGTCAGACTTTGAAAGAATAGAAAAAAGATAAATTCGACTGATGGAACTAATCCAAAGACACGATGTAGTACTTCCCGGCCAACAAGAGTCATATCTCTGGCATGTTCGCACGTCGTGCGAATCAAGAACATCAAGACAACGAACAAGTTTGAAAGAAACAACAGAAAGAGAGACGTTATTTAGATTTAATTTGACTTGCGCAAGCGTAACGGAGTGATGCGTTTTCTATACTGATTAACGAATGTTACAGAAAGAATAACGTAGTTTTTATTTTCAGTTTTTCTCTTCTCCCTTTGCGCTCACAGAGCTCATTTTTTACAAAAAGATTCCCCGTCCATTTAATTCATAAGGTTTGAGATGCTAAAAAATCGTTGTAATTGAACAAAAATCGAATTGTCCTAAAAGCTTAAAAAATTTAACTCAAAAAAGTATATTTTGTCAATATGAAGTTGAACTTATGCCTTGTGTCCAGAGCAAGTAGGCCAAAATGTAGCCCGTAGAATTTTCTATCGATTAGCTGTGATGCGGATTTTCTACCGTTATTTCTGTGTTTTCAGTAATGTTTTGGGCAGAAGCCCTACGATCGCTTTTTCAGCTTTTCAACAGGTATGTCCGGGCTATTTGTGAAATGAACAGTGCTCAGCCACAAATGAACTAATCAGGCTCATTCTTACGTCATTTTGAAGGCAAATGTTTGATCTACACGACTCACGTGCGAAACCTTTGATGTAACTTTTCTGAAAACAATCGAGATGCTCAACTCAAACTAGTGCATTTTGTTCACTAATGGGTGCCAATTATTAACTAGTCATTTCTACCACATCAGACCGATGAGGACAAAACGATGTCTTGCACCATCCAAAAGAGGACATCTAAACGTGCTAAGAAATGACCTGTGATCTTCCTATCACTTTCAAAATGGAGTTCAAACTTCAAAATTGTCAAAGGTATATTTAACAGTTCGGAGAGAGAGAATCAGGAAGATCGTTAATGGAAATAAGAAATGGAAGAGACGCAAGCACACTACCTTATGGTACACCACAAAGTGTAACGGGTTAGTATTTTCCGACCGATCCGATCCGGCCAATTAAAAAAACTTTTTCAATCGGTGGAAGCCGGCTTGTTAAAGATCTTTGTCTGTTTAAACAGCAAATAATGTCTGATAACATGAAACTATTTTATTTGAGATAGAATACTTTACTTCCTGAACCGACCGATTCCAAATAATTTTTTCAATCAGTAAAAGAATCGGACTATTATAAATTTCAACCGATCCCGTCCAATCGGACCGATTACAACTCTGGTACACCAGAAGAGGCAGAATCATTCATACGCATACACTGTAAACGATGAGTGACTTTCAAAACTGTCCCCTGTCTCAGTAGCTACAGTAAATTCCAGCCATACGTATGCTTATCCACTGTTCGTGTTATTTCTTTATTCACTTATGCTTGGGTTTTTTCTCTCTTATTATTCTTTTTATTCTATTTAATCTGTTTCTACTTTGTTTATTTGTCTCTACTCATCACTCTAGTTTTCTTCTGTCTGTTTTTCATTACTCTTTTTGTTGTTTTGGGTTGAGTCATTGTTATTCTAGATCAGGGACTTTTGATGATTCTCACTTTTTATGAATAAATAGGACTTACCCTTACCATATTACCCCTGTATTACTACTCCTGTGTGCATCCTGAGCATACAAGTGGGAAATTATACTATTCTTTATTTAATTCTTTAAACCTCAAGCTAATCTTTGTTATACGATGACGGTCTTCTTCAATTTTCGAACTATTTGACCTGAGCGTTATTTACTTCTCCTTTATCACGGTATTAGGACAGCATTTTGAGACTTTAAACTCTTTCTGGTAACAGCTCACCTATTGAGAGCAAATCATACACTAAGTTGTGTTCTCAAGACTAAAGTGAAATATCACCTTTTTACTTGCTTTTATCCTACCACCTTCATCAATCGTTTGATATAAAGAATTGTACATTTTTAATATAGAATTTATAAATTAGCTCCGAAGAAATAGACTAGATGAAAATTTTTCTTTAAAAGTGTTTGTAGTCTTCGATTACGTTGAAAACCGGTAATAGTTTTTGAAGTATTTATACTTAACAAAAAGAGGCGAGGACACACTGTGTGTAAAATTTGTTGAACTCCTATTTGCAGAAGAAAGTTTATGCGAAAAACAAGTTTTTAATATAATTCTTATTTAATTCAGGATTTTCATCCAATCAGAAAAAAAACTTTTTATCACAGACAAAAATAAGTCATCAGTCTACATACCAATTTTCTACATCAACGTCAGAAAACTATCTTAGTTAGGAAAAAATCATCAAATAAGGAATATTTTTACTTCTGGCAAATTTTTAAAAATGCCAATCACATCATGACATATCTTTTTACTCTATCATATTTTTTATTTATTCCATGCCGTAATATAATTTCTTGTTATTATACTTATATGTCATAATTGTTTCTGACTCATGAACGTTACTAGAGGTTTGAACTTCACCTAATTACATTTTAGGACGGTTATGCAGAATGTAGCAGCTTGTGTTATTATTAAAATTACCCGGAAACATAGCAAAGATTTTCTTTTTTGAAAATTTAAAAAATTTTGTCGCTAGGAAGTTAAATCAAACGTACACTCAGATCTATGTTTTATGTTACCAATTCGATTTTAACAAATCCTCTTCGAAGAGGTTTCGCATAAGGTTTTTGTTTTATGATACATTCATCATGGTACGCAATGATCCAATGAAGAAACGAAGAGTTATTACGACATCAAACTAATTCCCACACTTAACGGCGTGTATTGATCTGATTCATCTTCTTGAATGTAATGTATCCTGCAATGCTTATTTTGAGCTAATTTTGATTGCAAAAAGTCTTCATCCCTAAAGTATACGTTGTGTTCGTTTGATTTCCTTTCTGGTCTGTTTCGTCTTGAAACGCTACAAAAATTGATCGATATCGTCATCAACGTTCCTCCCACTCTTCGAATCAACGAGGAGGCGGTGGACGGGATCGAGATAGTGGAATGTCATCGTCAACAACAACAAAAGACGATCAACAACAATTGTTAAATGGAAATGGTCAAAATAATGAAAGTATTTTACATGTCAAGTTTCTATTACCAGGTGCAACGACAGGATCTGTGATTGGAAAAGGTGGAGAAAGAATCGCTAGTCTGCAAAAAGAAACCTCAACTAAAATGAAAATGTCAAAAGCAGGAGTGAGTATTTAATGACTGATTGTTTCACTTTTTCGAAATGTGTTCATTCTAACATTTCTCGTGAAATGTCTTTTCTGTTGCTTTTGTAGGACTAAAAGAATAACGTGTAGAATAATTCGAAATTAAAGTTACTGGACAGAGTTTTTCTTCCCCTAAACATGTCAGAAATATATGATTCTATGTTTGAAAGTGGAAAATCTGTTTGCTTCACATAGAACGTTTTTTTAATTTGAACTGCTCTCGTTAAACTCATCTGAAAAATTTATGATTCATCTTAACGTAGTATAGAGAAAAAGGATTATGAACAAATCACAGAATCATGTTAGGCCTAAATTTGAAAATTCTCTTATGACAGTTTCCCATCATCTGAAATTAATTCGGATGCTTTTTAAAGCTAGTTAAACAAGTCGATTTTGGGTACTTGCGAGTAAACATTCAGATGAAAACGAATAATGAAAAGCTATTCAAATGTTTCAGTTGCCTGAACGATTACAAATGCTGCCAGTTTGTAAAAAACTTAACGAAGTCGAAAACGATGTGTAACATAAACAATATATTCAATATTCCTCCTAACTCGGAAACTGATGTTTTATCATGCCTAATTACTGTTTTTTATCTTTTTTCTATAATTTCCAAAACATAAACTACAATATATTCTACTGTCTATATTTTCATCTTTTGTTTATATTGTTTTATTGTTGTGCTTAGGATTACTTTCCCGGTACACAAGAGCGTGTCTGTCTAGTAATTGGCTCAATACCAAGCGTTCTCTCTGTATATGACTTTGTGGGTGACAAAATTAAAGAAAGTTTCCCAGATGTATTAAGAAGTCGTCAGGTAAATTGTCCTCTTCTCTTTCTTGAGTATGTATTTAGTGCTTTTTGTCTCTGTTTAGATAAAACTTGTAATTCCAAACGCCACGGCGGGTGTTATTATTGGAAAAGGAGGACAAACAATTGAAAATATAAAGCAAGATACAGGAGCATCGTTGAATATAACACCGAAATGTGATATGGCTGAAAGAGTTATGACTATTATTGGTATGTTTATCGCGTGTTTTTTATTGACATGTCATTTGAAAGCGGACAAATAAACTAGAAAACTGTATAAACCAATAATTTTTTGAGTCGAGTTCAAATTTTGATTTATAACACCGTGTTCATAATAAATCTCTTCTGGTTGCGCTCTGGGTTTGAAAGTAATCGAAGTTGAAGCTTTCCCATATTTCCTCTATATTTTTTTATTCTTATAGTACACAAAGAAATGTCCGATATGCTTTGTATAGAGAATTGAATCGGGAATTTTTTAAAAAGAAACCAAAGTATAGGTGATGAAAATTGAAAAAGATATTAAGAAAATACTGAGACCACCATTTATTCTGCTACACCCGTTAGATCTAAAATTTTCTTGAAGTAGTTGTAGCGTAGCTAATTAAAACTAGATGCATAAGGTAATTTACAATTCTAGCATTTTCGTAAACAGAAGGATGATTGTGAAATTTTCCATGTTATTTTTTGTTTATTTTTGTTTAGGTGATGATATAACTCGTCGTAAAACATTAGAAGTTGTTTTGTCAAAAATATTACAAGATCCTCATCATGATAGTGTGCCAAGTGTTAATTATTCTTCAGCATTTTCAACACAATTAAACTCGAATCAGAATGATTTATCAACCGAAAGTTTTACTGGACGTAGGTTTAAGCAAAAATCTAACTTAACCTTTTCTGATCACTAAAATTAACTAACGTACCACCTATCATTATTTCAGCAAGTGGTATTAACGCTAAAATGGGTGCATTAATGTCTACGTCGTCCTCTATTACTTCTTCTGCAGGAACAAATGGTGGAACAAGTGCTGGCGCAATTCAACATCTGTCAGCCTTGTCAAATGTTAGTCTACAATTGTCCGGTTTACATCGTTTAGCTCAACTAATTATTTCTGCTGGAGGTTCAAATAATATGTCGGTTGATTCATTAAATGTAAGTATTTTTGCCAATACTTAAGCAAAAAACAATAATCTGTTTCATAAATATGTTCTTTTAGCATTCACTTCAAAGTCTCGGTTTTCCCGATCAACATGCAGCTGATATTGTTCAAGCAATTGGAACGCTAATTAATTTTGGTTTAATAACAATTAACATGACAACTACAGCAAATCCATTTTCTTCGCCTACGTTACAATCGCCACAACAATTATTTACCACAACATTGCTCCAGGGATACGCCACTAATATACAGGTGAGACTATTAGCTAAATCCTCAATAGTTAGTTTGGATCATTGTTCCCAAGAGAAAAGTTTTCATCTTATTGTTTAGAAGGATCGAAATGATAGTTATTCAGCTGATATGGACTTTAAACGTTTCAAACCAGATCAGCGAAAACCAAAACGTTGATAAGACATATTCTTATAAAAGAAGGAATTATTATCACGTCCATTTTTCATTACTCATAAAAAGTACACGTGTCAGAAAAAATAATTGTCACTTTTTTGTTGTTGCTTTTTAATCAAATCGGATAATTTTGACTGTTCTTGATTTTTATTCAAGAAAATTGTAGATATAAAATAAAATAGTTTCCGATTGTTGTTATTTGTTTAAATTAAAATGCCGTATCGGCATTATATTGTTGCTTTTATTCTATAATTACAAATACATTATTGTAATGAAGTCTTGTGTTGTTCTTTTTTTTGTTAAAAAGAACTTTTTGTACATACATTGTTGTTATTGTTTTTTTTATCTTGCTGTATGAGCGAATGTGCTCTTTTATCGTATAATTAAGCCGAAAATGTTTGATTTTAGCATTTTATCTTTTCTTTTTTCTGTGCATCGATGTGGATGCACATAGTTTTTTTATATACTTGTAATGCAGCTTATAACCTGAAAATTGAATTTTATTTTGTTTGTTCCTTCAGAGTCATTGGCCTCTTTTCGTTTACAACATCTATATAGTTTGTACTTTTTTTATTTATGCTACTGCTCTAATTATCTCATGCAGCTGGAAGAGGTAGCATATGAACATCTAGTTTCTGAATGGTATCATAGATTAAAGATTTTTTTGAGGTCTTTTTTTCTTAATCTAATATTATTCAGAAAATAATGTTTCTAAACGGAAGACAGTTAAACAACAGACCTGACTAATACATTGTTTTTGTTTTCATTTTTGAGTATGTGAGTATTTTTTCTTTTCTTATTTGTTGTTCTTCCACGTTGTTCTGCTTCTTTTTCAACCACTTATCTATACATTTTGCTGTGCTCGTGTATGCAGCACATTTTTATCTGTCTCTATTACGGGAAAAATAATAATGTTAATCAGAAAATACAATATAGTAACTACTTTTCCTTCTCTTGGTTTTTTATCCGTATCATATTTTTAGACAAGAATTCTAAAAATAAAGTTTTGAACGCACTATGGATTGTACAGACACACCAGTATTCTCAGAGATATAGTCCCTGAATATGACAAAGGAAGATGCTTTTTTAAACTTGAAAGTTCATAAAATGTAAAATGTGAACTTCGGACTTTTAGTTCTTTCGATCAGAGTACGGTTTTTTTAATAGAATCTCATCGTAGTTCAACAAAAAGCACCTTAAATTATTCTGCGGTTTTGGTTTTCTATTTGTCTTCTACTGTTTTAGTAAAATATGAGCCAAATGACTTTAACAAGTCTTCCATTCATTGACTAATATCTTCAACAACGCATTGAGAACGAAGAAAACGCTTACCGGCCAAAATAATCGTAACAGAATCATGTTTTTTCAATTTCTGACTGTAATTTCTTAGTCAGTTCAACAGATATGCTTAAGTTCTTACCAAATTTGTCTGATCACGTCCTGGACAATCTCTAAAATTTCGATTAAATTGGAATGTATGATTCGAGTTTTATAAGAAAAATATCAATCGTTACCGAACCACCAAAACTAGAACTGTCATTCCGAAACAATTTAAAGTGATCGAAAACGCAGCTAATCTCCATTCTTTAAGTGAAAACTTTTGCTGATAATGTTGCAGAAAAGTCTACAGACTATCGATTGCAAAAAATTTTTGTATAGCTCCGAAAATGATAGCTAAAATATCATCGGTACGGAATCACACATTTTACAAGTAACTGTGTTTTCGCAGTTTGATTTTTTCCCCACGACAATGAGCGAAAGTTAAATTGAAATGACATTATCACAATTTCAAAACATTTCTCTATTTAATCATGTGCTCAAAACCTAAAAACTATTGCAACAAATAAGGGGAAAAGCCAAATAAAAACAACTTTTTTTCAAAACTTAGACATAAAAGACGAACTTTACGTGGAATGACTCTTACCGGTTTTTTTTCTGATTTTCTTTAGAATTTTTTCAGGATAAAGAACACACATAAACTAAATCTACATTTTAGTCCGTTGATTGATGCTTAAAAATAACGTCTAGTTAACGGTTGCCGTGAAGTAACTGTTTCGATCGAGTTGCTTTCTGTCTCTAATAAACAGTGCCTGAGTAGTCATTGTATCGACAGAGGTTTAAGTTATACAGTATTTGAAAAACTCAAGTAGCAAAAACGGCCAAAGAATCAATAAAATTAGAAATTTTGAAGCACGTTAAGCATTTGTTTGAATTAAAAGCGATTCTGTGCATAAATCTCCACTTAATCAGGAATGCATAAAAAAAGTATGTTGTTTGAACACAAGGTGCCAGAGGATATTCATTTTTTCATGCTAATAAAATTTTCTCAAAACATGTCTCCAGTGTAGTTTGTTGCAACCCATTGTCCACTCTTCTAACAGAGCTCAGATTTTCCATAAATCGTCTTTGAAATATGCTACACCTATCTATATTCAATTTAGATCAATACATTATTATATAGTTATGAAAAAAAGCCTACATCTAGAACAGAAACAATTAGACTAAAATTTTACACTCGTATCGCTATTACTTTTAGACTACCATAAGTAGCTTCATCAAGATACACTTGTACTACGTCTTATTGAATAAAGTGTAGGCGCTTAACAGCGATGTGTCTATCACATTCAAATTTCTCTTGTCTTTGATTTAATTTCATCTAGAAGGTGCATAGAGCGTTTTAAAAAGCTCTTAGTCCAAGGGGGCAAAAGCAGACTAAAGTCCAGTTATGGACTTTCAGAATCTATCTAAGTCCACGTAAGTCCATTAAAATCTATAAATATCCAAAAGCCCAAAGTCTGTTTTTCTCCCTTGTCTTAGTCCGTTCAAAAATTAAACGTCACTCGATCGCTATATAGTCATTTTTTATTTGGTTGAATTTATTTATTTCTATCGTATTTATCAGATCTTTAACGATTAAGCTAAATCAAATTAAGATCAGCTTTCTCCTCAATCTAGTGTGCATGTTTTTACGCTCTGTACACTGATGCCACAGTAACATAAAGAAAGAAAAGCAGAATAAAAATCAATCATAAATAAACAAAAATTATCATGATCATCGATATTTATGTTCTCATCTAACCTGTTCAATGTGTATTATGTTAACAATTTAAGAAAAAAATTCTATATGACTAATAATCTATCTGAATAGCTCAAATGTGTTTAATATAACCTATTCGTACCGTCTAGTATGCGATATAGATCAACATGTTATCAAATTATTCTATTCTTTATACACCATTACCATCGTTATTCGCCTACAGATTACTGTTTTCAGCATTAATATTACAAGTATTCTATTTTCTTATTGTTAACTCTACCGGTAACCGCTACTTAATATACAATGGGTCGAAAAATTATTCATCCATCTCAACACTATTATTTTGTTTTGTTTGTCATTTGTAAACCGTACATGCCAGAAGAGGATTTTCACCATTGCGTGGAGCATCATCTATATTTTTGGAAAATGGTTGGACAGGTTTCACGGGACCTTTGTTTAATTTAGCGCTCATGATTTGCTAACCTAACGTTTGTTCTAATCGTTATAACCCACCAGAAACGAATAGTACAAGTTGATGTGCTCTATCCGTTAATGAGATTATTTACTAGGAAAAGGTCGAAGGTTTTTCGGTTGTTTTTGATCTATAGCAAATGTATTCGATTACCATCCAAAGCATATATTTCCAAGCTTCTTGATCGTCACGAATAATTTCTTGTCGAAATTCGGCTAAATATTTTGAAAAAACTCTCTATCACCTCAGCATCTTGGAGGAATAGGGCGAATGATATCCTTTCATATACAAACTTTTTTTCGTGGCCTCGTTGACGTTTTCACACGTATGTATTCCGTTAGCCGCAAAGCGATAAGATAAATCAAAATCTTTCATTAATACCAGTTTTTGTCCGAAGGGGAATTTTCTTTCGAAAGTGGATGAATAATTTTTCATCGTCAAAAAACGGTATTTTTCTGTTAAACCAAACACAAAATTGAATTAAATGCTAGGAATACCTACATATAGACTAGATATGATGCTCCACACAATGGTGAAAATCCTCTTCTGGCATGTATGGTTTACAAATGACAAACAAAACAAAATAATAGTGTTGCGGTGGATGAATAATTTTTCGACCCATTGTATTTCTGATAGTCTTTTATTGTCCATTAGAACCCTCATGGAGATTTTTACTTACTCTGGTGGGTTTCTAGAAATTCTCTGATGATTCAACAATAGTGTGCCGCATTATCCCAAAACGCGACATATTCGGGTGCGACACTGAGTTAGACTCCTGCGGAGCAGCCCCGAAACCCATCCCGTCTGTCCCGTCCCTTGGACAGACGAGGTCGGAACAATTTGCAGAAAACTGTTGTTCCGTAAGTTTTATCTTTTGATCTATACTGCAACTTCAAATGTTTAATTCTTGTAATACTATCAAGTCCATACAAATTTTATATCAGTAGGCAACGATCTTTGAAATAATTTCATGTTAGTTGCAGCTAATTTTAGAATTTTATTCTGCAAAAGTTGATATTTCGATCATTCATGGTCATTGTGAAAAGTGAAAATGTACACACAAGACGTATAACGGTACTGAAGAATCTGTAACATTTAGTACTGGTTCTTGTGATAGTATCCAGAGTGATTCTTTTATTAACAATTTTTATTTGTGTTGTTCACTAGTAGAGGTGGCACTTTACTAGTTACTCGGCGTTACTTACTCGTTACTAGTAACGAAATAACTAGATTAGTTACTTCTTTACTAGTAACGAATAACTAAGTTCGTTACTAGTTACAAGTAAAGCAAAAGTAAAGTGACACTCCTATTTACTAGTGAGAATTTCAAAGCCATTCGTATAATCAAATGTCCAGTCGCCTGGTAATGTCTACCAATGGACGACTTTGCCAGTACCGTTTGTTTTGGATTAGCTTTTATCAATGTTTGAGTGGCGAGTAACCAGTCAAGCTCATCATCATATAACGTTTTCATCACAGGAGAAAGTTTACCTG